TAGCCACCAAGCAGCCCAAGAAACCTTATGGAATGAGGCCTTGGACGAAAATATGATGATCCTTCATCATAATTTCGTTCCCCCTTAGTCCATTAGGTTTCCTAGCCCAAAACTCAACTATCACACAATTGACAGTTTATACCCCTTTATTTAATTTGTCTCTTTTAGTCACCAAATTAATTCCTAATTAATTTATGACTAATACTAATCAAATAAATATGATTTCTCCTTTAATATATTATTCTTATAATATATTAATAAATCATAATATCTCCTCTCTCATATCAAATTACCTTGTCAAGTTGCTTTGGTGAAGGCAACCCAAAAGGACCATGCACACTCGGGTCAAGTATATACCAAATATGGTTACTGACTTAGACATTAATCCAACAGTATGCTAGGTGTACTAGGCCCAGAATGAAACCCTAATTGTTAGTGAGCTCCCTATTTAAAGGACATGATGGCCTCATTCCTGGCCACCATTCCTAGACACCAAACCCACCTAACCCTGAATCTTCGTCCTTACAGATGGAGAGTGCATTTGAGAGCTTGTGAGTGTAATCTTGTGTTCTTGAAGTAGAGAAGAAGCTTGGAGAAGAAGGAGCGAGAGCCATAGGAGTTTGGATCTGAGCTTAGCTGTGTGGAAAGCTTCACAGAAAGGTATAAAGCTTCAAGCTTTCTCACTCTTTTGTTTGGTACATTCATATGGAGTATTTTAGGGTTTTATCCCAAAAGATGGATACTTTATGAAATAATGAGCTCCAGAGACCTTGATCTACCCCTTTCCAGTGTATTTTGTGGAGTAGAGTCATAAAAATCCAATCTTAGACGTTAGGAGTAAGCCATGCATGAGTTATGAGTTTCATAAGGAAAGGGGATGGGTGTTTTGAGTGTTTATGACCTAATCAGCCATGCAAAGGCTTAAAGTCACTGACTTTATGGATTAAGAGACAATAATGAGTCCAGATCTGAGATATGAGCCTATGTCTTAGCTGATTAAGACCAAAAATGTGAGGAGAGTGAAACTGGGACGTACTCCGGGCGTAATCCAATACACGCAGCGTAGGGGTCGAGCATCCCCGATGCTTGCATTGCAGCCGAGTATGCCCAGCATAGAGAGTTGGTACGCACAGCGTACTCCTTGCCGTTGACTTTCGGTTGACTTTTAGGGTTTGGTCAACATGTGGTCTATTAAACCCATGGAGGGGTAAAATGGTCTTTTACCATTTTGTGAGTGTATGGAAGGGTTAGTCTAGCCTTGTGAGGGTCATTATTAATTAGGGATAATTATTGTGTGTGTTAGGAGGACGCTAGACCGGTGATTCGAGTTCGAGATTATCCGAGTTCTTACGAGCTGAGTCTTCTCGCTATACTTTACGTAGAGTGGTAATTATGTGTAACCAGAGGGTCTTATGTGCTTGCTTGAGTTACGCATTTTCTGTGTGATATGTACTGTGTGTTATATTATGAGATACTTAGACCGGACCGGAGGGTCCAACGAACTATGAGACCGGAGGGTCCTCACTTAGACCGGATCGGAGGGTCCAACGACTAGTAAGACCAGAGTGTCCTCACTTAGACCGGACTAGAGGGTCTAACGAGATGTGGGACTGGAGGGTCCCACTGAGACACATTGACCGGAGGGTCTTACAGAGCTATAGCCTCAAGTGGCTAATTATATGTGTGTGGTATTTTGGGGAACTCACTAAGCTATGTGCTTACCGTGTTATGTGTTATGTGTTGCAGGTGCTTCTGAGGATCGCGAGAAGGCACCAGCTTGATTGTACACACACACCTGAGTTGGAATTATATTTATTATTGGAACCTGGATTTGTGATAAACTATTTTTGAAATTATGTTTTGACAGTGATACTTGAAGTTTTGGAGAGATGTGATATGTAATTTACCATGTTTGAAAAATGAAAATTTGGTTTGAAATTTTTACATCGTTACACTATGCAGATGATGCAATTTTTATTGGAGAATAGAATACATCGAATTTTAGGAACATTACTAATATTCTTAGATGTTTTCATTTGGCAGTTGTCCTTAAAATAAATTTCCAAAAGAACAAGTTGTTTGGTTATGGTATATTGGGCTCTCTAAGGTTACGGAAGTTCTTTTCTCTATGGGGTGTGCTCCTTTGATAACTCTGTTTACTTACTTGGGAGTTATTGTTGGTGCAAATATGATGAGACTTAATAACTTGAAGGGTGTCACTCAGAAGGTGGTGGATAAATTACCTCGTTGGAAAGTTAAGACTCTTTTTTCAGTGGGAGATTAACTCTTGTATAATCGGTTTTGGGATCCATTCCGATTTTTTTATGTCGATTTATAAAGTGTCAGTGGGTGTTCTTAAACAAATGGAGTCTTTAAGAAATAATTTCTTCCTAGGGCTAATCTGGAAGATAGCAAATGTCTTGGGTTAGTTAGAGTAACGTTTGTATGTTGAAGGTGCATGGTGGTATGGGGTGAATAGTTTTTTTGCTTTTAATCCTTCGTTGTTGTTTAAGTGGGTTTGGAGATTTTTTCACGCTAAAAATGATTTATGGTATCGAGTTACTAGATCCATTGATAGGGTACATGGTTTTTTGGATCGTGATCCTCCTCCTCAGAGTTCGACCTGCCTTAATATTGTTTTAATTTTCATGCTTCTGAGAAGGAAATGGGTGGACATGATGCAGTGTATGATGCAATGGTGTCAAAGGAAAGTTGGTGATGGGGCTCAAACACGATATGGGAAGATTTTTTGATATGGGATAGGGTGCTTAAGCTATATTTTCCAAGATTGCTCGATCTTGAAAATGGCCCTAATATTTCAATTAAAATGAAATGGCAGCATGGTCATTTGTTTCATTCTTTTCACAGAAGGTCTAATGGAGTTGCCAAGATTGAGTAGTGGGAGGAGCTTTATAATTTGTTATCTTCAGTGATAGGTGGATTTGGATGCTTGATCCTTCGGGGATTTTTAGTGTGGCGTCAGGTAGACTTTTTATAGATAAGGTGATGTTAGGTTATTCTAATTTCACTACTAGAGGAGTGAAGGTTGTGTCGATTAAAGTTAATGTTTTTGGCTGGAGATTGCGATTGATAGCCTTCCAACTTGTGTTAATTCGTCTAGGAGGGGTATGGTGATTCCCTCTATCATTTTCCCTTTACGTGATAATAGTGTGGAGTATGGATGAAAGTGGATCCAAACCCGGACCGGATGGACCCGGACCCGAAAAACCCGAAACCGATTAACGGGATTTTGTAGAACCGGAAACCGGACCGGTATATAGGAACCGGTTCTGGTTCGGTTCTAGGTACGGTTCCGGGTAAAGTGAGTCTAGAACTGGAAACCCCGGAAACATCAAAGTGGGTAGGTTGGAACCGGATAAAGTGGGTTTAGAACCGGAAAACCTGGAAAAACCGGAATTTTTTGGTAATTACTTACTATCTAGTGGGTTGAAGTTTGAAAATTTTCATATTGATATCCCGACTTTGGGGAATTGTAAATCATTGAATATAAAACCAAAAATTAACAAAATTATAGTCTAAAATCATGTACAAACTCTAAAATAAACTCTGGAAAAAACCGCATGTTAATCAGAGTTTAAACGAATGTGATATGCATGTGTTAACATTTTCACATAATACAAAGTACAAAAACAAAAAGCTGAAAAGTTGAAAATTTTCAGTTTTGATATCCTGACTTCGGAAGACTGTAAATCATTAAATATTAAACCAAAAATAACAAAATTATAGTTTAAAATCATGTACAAACTGTAAACTACAAGTTCGAACAAACCACATGTGAATCCAACTTCAAACTAATTAGATATGCATGTTTTAAAACATTCACTGAATACAAAAAAAACTGAAAAATTAAAAACTTACAGTTTTGATATATCGACTTTGGGGGACTGTAAGTCAATGAATATAAAACTAAAAATGATAAATTTATAGTCTAAAATCATGTATAAAATCTAAAATACATGTTGTAAAAAACCGTATGTCAATTGGAGTTAAAACGAATGAGATATGCATCTTTTAAACATTTCACAAAAAAATTGGTTCCGACCCTAAAAGTGGTTTCGGTTCCAAAAATCGGTCCCGGTTTTTAGACTTGGTTTACCCGGACCCGATGGACCCAAACCCGGATTACCCGGAACCCGGATAAAGCCAATTTTTAAACCCGGAATCGGAACCGGTTCTATATATTCTGGTTCTAACGGTTCCAGTTCTAAATCCCATCCTTAGTGTGGAGTTTGTTTCTCACCCATTCTTTTCGTGTTCCATAGCCATGTTGTTGATCTCGCAGGTGCTTAGGTGGTGGGATTTCATGATCTCGTTGTTGATGTCTTATGTTGATTAGCTATCTTGGTTTGCTTCAATTTGTTTAAAGAGGAAGTTAAGGAGGTTCTTTGAAGGCACATTTTTGGTTCCTTGGTAGTACATATGTCGGTTCCCCCCACCATTCTTTGTTTAGAACTCTTGTTTTGAAGAAATTTTTGTTATTTGATTTTAGACAAAACTTCAAAAATGGTCCTTGTGGTTTCCAAAAATATCAAGTTTAGTCCTTAAGTTCAAAAAACCTCACAGATGGTCCCTGTGGTTTCAGAACTTTTGACAAATGGTCCTTTTCGCTAACTCCGTTAGCTTTTGACCGTTAAGTGAAGGGCATTTCTGTCTTTTCACTATTACAAGGACCATTTTTGAAGTTTTGCCCTTATTTAAAAAAATATATATATATATTATTTAATATAGAAAAGGTCTCTCTTTCTCTCTCTCTCTCTCTCTCTCTCTCTCTCTCTCTCTCTCTCTCTGATTCCATTCGCATCTTCACTTGCTTCCTCGAACAATCAAAATCCAATTCCTTAAACAACTCATTCCACTCTTAGATACCCACAAAAATCACTTCTTCAACTATTGATTATCATCAAAGATTTCAGTTTTTCAATCAAGAACTGAAAGGAGGAATCAGAGCCCTCAAGTAGGGTGAAGTTTCCTCTTGAAAAATGCTTAGTATCTTCAAAAAAAACCTCCGGCGACTCTGCTCAAAGTTCCGGTGGCCAATGCGCCGTCGTTCAAAACCGAAAGTCATTATCAAAAGGTTCGGGAAATTGAATTCCAGAACTCAAGATATATCAAACACAAATGGGTCAGCCACAATTCATCCAAATAATCATTTGGGGAAATCAGAAACCCCAATCCGAATCGCAACTTTTAATGCCGCTTTGTTCTCCATGGCACCAGTAGTTCCAGAGTTGAATGGAAAAGCTTCTAGCTTTGACTATGGCGAAGACGAACAAGATTACAGTAGTAAGGTACCATCAAATTGCTCTGTTTCTTACACCAATTCAAAATCAAAAATCAATGATTGATTATCCCAAAAGTATATTAAAGCAATCACCATTACATTCAAGTAGCTCCATGAGCAGTTCAGAAACTGTATCAAAACAACATAAATTCGCAAAATCAAAGCTAAGAGTTTCAATCAATTTACCCGACAACGAGATCTCACCGAAGCGAAGTAGGCAGTTAAGCTTCGCCATAGACGAAACGAAAGAAGGCCCGAGTTCAAAAACTATTAATTCGAAGGGTATAAGTAGGATTTTGAAAGGGAAAGGTGTTTTAAGATCACAAATCAGTTTTTCTTCAAAATAATCTGAAAATCAAAGAGGGAAAGGTTATAGGTCAACGAAAACTGTTCTTGAAGTTTTGAAAGAATTGGATGCAGATATATTAGGTTTACAGGATGTTAAAGCGGAAGAGAGAGAGAGAGAGAGAGAGAGAGAGAGAGAGAGAGAGAGAGACATTTTCTATATTAAATAATAATTTTGTTTTCTTTTTTTTTTAAATAAGAGCAAAACTTCAAAAATGGTCCCTGTAATAGTGAAAAAACAGAAATGTCCTTCACTTAACGGTCAAAAGCTAACGGAGTTAGCAAAAATGACCATTTGTTAAAAGTTTTGAAACCACATGGACCATCTGTAAAAATTTTTGAACTTAAGGACTAAACTTGATACTTTTAGAAACCACAGGAAGCATTTTTGAAGTTTTGTTTAAATTGTGTCACAATCATTTTTTTGGTTTAATAATAACCGCAGGTTCTCTATAAATTGGGTTGGTTAGTTACAAAACCCAAAAGGCAATATTATATAGGGTCCCTATTATATAATTGTTTTTCTTAGCTTTTTGAAATCCTTTTTATTGGAATTCTATCATTCCAAAAAAAAAAAAAAAAAAAAAAAAAAACTGTTTTATATATACATGAAAGTTTACGTTTTGTATTAAAGAAATTGTTTTTGTTATCTTTGACTTTGTTTTTCGTTTTCAGTTTTACAAATATGTTTTAATGATTTCGGTATTTCGCAAGTTAGTTGTGTATGTTTTTCAAAAGTTTGAAATTTCATAATTTTTTTAAAATTCGTATTTTTCAACGTTTTCTACAAATTGCTTTTTGTAACTTTTACATATTTTTTATATTTTTTAGAACATGAATGTGTAATAATGTAAATAAACAAATTCATAGAAGTGCGAATTTGTAAAAAGCCATAAATAATGGGTTTGTAAAAGCAAATTTAGAAAAGCTACTTTTAAAAAAAATAGATTTGGAAAATTTAGAATATATAAAAAGGAAACTTTTAAATAACATGCAAAACGAATTCCCTAAAACAAAGTTATAAAATATTAAATTTAAAAAAATGGAAAATTAAAATAAAACTAGAAATAAAATAAAACAGAAACATTTTTAAGAAGATAAAAAGTCAGGAAATTCATCAATTATGTTCGAAATTATACGTATGATCCCACCTTTTTATCTTTATTCTATAGTCAAGTTGTGGTCTTATAAACTCTAAAAAATTCATCATTTCTGTTAAAAATTCTAATGCATAGGCACATAGCCTACAAAATTGTCCATATAGCTCAAAATTATCTTAAAAAAAGTTGTTCATTCAGCTCAAATTTGAGTATTTAAGTCTACATATCAATGAAAACCTCATAAAAGAAACAAGCACAACTTCATCCATTTATCTCGAATTAAACAGAACATCATTACCCATATCTTAACCCAATTGTGATCTTGTGTTTTAGTTGCTAATGACCACAATGGTCTTGTTTCTTTTTCTATTTAAGATGATTTCTTCTACAAGAATTGTTGTCATTGATTGAGAAATCAAGTTTGATTCCACATTCGATATTTTAATTAACATTAAATTATAATAAGTTATGATGAGTATCATACAAATATTAACTACTTGTCAAATTTGAATATTGTTTTTTTCTATAGGATCCTTTGATACTTGCTACGATTTTGTAAAAAACGTAAAACGATTATAGTTATAGGTTTGCCAACTTTACTGATACCTTTTATCCTTTTTACCAAAAGAAACAATAGTGGACCACATTTTCTATTATTACCAAGAGGAAATGGTTTGCATGCATTATTAATAAAAGACAAGATCTATTTGCAAGCTTTCAGCCAACAACAGTGGCAAATTTTCAAATTTCTATTAGAATATATATAGTATGCCAATAAATATTTAAGGGATTATAGTTACATTTTTCACCTTATATACATCCATATGCATAATTGCATATACCACAACGTACAAGGTACAACACTACACTTACTGCATCTGTAAACCTATTAAAGAATCGGATTTTGGCATTTAATAGTTTTTCTTGAGATCATCTTTACACAAATCGAGAAATTTTCAACTTGACACAGAGATTCAAGAATGTACAATTATTGAAACAGATGGTACAACTGCTCAAAGGACAAAACTTTCCTTACCCACTCTTTTGACTATAAACCACAGAAGCTGTAGCATCTATGTATTTTGTTGTTTATATGAAGAGTAATAGAGCCAGAAAATCTAGTAGAAACCATCGGAAATTTTATGCTTCTGATTATAACTCCATGTATGTATATTAGAATTTTGTAGATAGGTTTATATTATTATATAAATTTATAATGAAGGAGCAAATTATGATTAAAATTTAAACGTGGGCCAAGAAAAATTTACATTCAGTTTGGAATATTATGAAATAATACACGTACATAAAAAGGACAAACATAATTGAAAAGTACCTTGAAAGAATTGTCAATATCAAGAAAGTCACCTAACCTTCATAACTAAACTTACACGATATGATATGATAATAACAAATACTCTGCTGCTAATAACTACTTCCTTTTTTTTTCAATTCCATTTTGATTTTTTTTTAATTATTATTATTATTATTATTATTGTTATAAATTTCGATAACCATATAAAATTTAGAAGAGATTTTAAAATTCGAACGGCATTATAAATTCGGACGACATTATAAAATTCGAACGGCTATATAAAATGTACAAAAAAAGTTTGTTTTTATTTATCACATATATTAATTGGTTCAATATTACAATTGCATGGTACGTTATGCAGATTGAAAGCATTTGGTCGAGCACTATACAATGTTTCTCATGCAGTCGAATGTTCTGATCTATATGTACGGAAAAGTCTGGACAAAACATCAGACACTGGATATGATCCTTGTAAATCAATTATTACATAATGATTAGGATGAACCTAAATCAATAACTGTAGTTGTTGATGGTGAAAATATGTCCCAATAGATAGAAATCGTAATAATAATAATAATAATAATAATAATAATAATAATAAATAGAAAGAAAAATTGTTTATAAATAACTGTGTTGGACCGATAAATGAAAAGTAAGTTTTTTATCCAATATAAAATTGCATTTGGATTTATAGTGTAATTCCAATATGAAAAATAAGTTTTTTTTATCAATAATAATATTAAGTAAGCTTTTTTTATCCAATATGAAAATATCATACATAAAAGTTTTACAAATGAAAAAATTACCTTTTCTAATATGAAATTGCATTTGTAGTGTAATCTTTAAAAAAAATAATAAGTTTTAATTTTTTTTTAAATAATAAGAATAATCTGATAAATAAAAGAAAAAAAATAATGTTAAATCAAAGAATAAATAATTGATTAAATTGAGGTTAGGAGATAAAAAAGATAAAAAATGATACTTATAGCACAACCATATTACTATCTTATTAGTTTGTAATGTTCAACCTTCAATCTTGGCTTATTATTAACAAACCAAAATACAAGATTCAACATCCCCTCATATAAAGATGAATTTATCAAACTTAATTTGTTTTCGAATTAAGTATAAAAAAATGATAAATACAATCAGTTTTCTTTATACTTTGCTAAAAAAATAACTAGAGTTTTCCATATTATTCTTAAGAATTGTCATCATATTTAAGGCATTTATTTTTATTTTTATGTGTTTTTAAACCAAACTCTCTCTCTCTCTCTCTCTCTCTCTCTCTCTCTCTCTATATATATATATATATATATATATATATATATATATATATATATATATATATATATATATATATATATAATTTCTCTCAACCCAAAACTTCATTTTTGGTGCAAAACGGTTTTTGAATATTCCTACTACCAAAAAAACTTTGAAAAAAATGTATTTATGACTAAAATTCATGAATTCCGTGAAAATATGTACAATTTGGAAGTATACGAAAATAATTTATATTTTTTGATGAATAGTGGCATTTGTCGGTCAGTCTAAACTCATGTCACAATGCTTAATTTCGTATATTTGGGAGAACTAAAATAATTTATATTCTTTAGGGCTAAACCTGGTCGTGCCGACTACATTGGGTCCCCTGCAAATTCAAAATGCGATCTTTGTTAACTTTTAGTTATGATTTGACAAATGATTAAAAAAACATGGTTATTATTTTATATTTATTTTTCATTTTCTCCACCTAAATATCGACATAGTTTTAATTCTCATATCTTTGTAGCAAAAGATGATTGTTCGTTAAGAAAATACCTACATAACATAACCATACTGTAATCATATTTCTCCAACCAAACCAGGTGTTCCGATTTTTCCATCTCTTCCCCCACAATATTAATAATCAAACAAAAAACATGTAATCCAGATTTATAAGCATCAAGGCATTCAATTAATACCGTTTAATCAGTTAGACAGCTCCTAATCATTTTGTCCTTTTTGTCTGTTTGTTCTTTTTTTTTTTTTTTTCTGTACAATTATTATTATATATCTTTTCATGATCAAATTGTCGATTTAGTTGCAACTAGTATACTATTTAGACGAGTTCATCTTCAAGAAAATTATACTCAAATTTGAATTCGGTCTTGATTCTTTGACACCTGCAAATAAATAATAAATAATTAAAAGTGAAGGGGGGTAATATGTAAAATTTTGGATGTGGAATCTTTTTTTGTAGTAAACATAGAGAATGGTACATACTACATACCATCCATGTTGCAGGAGTTGATGATCTGTATCAGTGGCCATATGAAAATCGAAGTACACATACGTCCCCTGTTCGTAGTCATCAGTAGCAATTTTTGGCTCCTCATGCCTTTGAAACCATGTGTTGTACTTTTTATGGTATCTCCATGATTGCTTTTTCAGCTCTTTTGCAGCTAAATATTGCTGGTAACTCTTCTGTAAGTATTTAAATACAATCAATGTAATACTAATTTCAATTTTCAACTCTATACTATTTCTAAATTACACTTTTGCTCCCTGTGTGGGTATAGCACTATACTTAGTTTGCCTTTTGCAATTTTGGTCCCGGATACCTTTTCTCTTGCAAATTGGGTCCATGCTTCAAGTTAAATCACTACTTTTGGTCCCAATAAGTTTTCTCCTGCAATTTTGGTCCTTATTTGATGTTTTTGGACCATGTTCTAGGCATAATGACCACTTTTGGTCCCTGCATATAACTGATTTTTGCAATTTTGGTCCCAAAAATAGTCATAAACTATATTTTGGTCCCTGAGTGAGTGTAGCTGATTTTTGCAATTTTGGTCCTTATTGAAGGCTTTTGTAACATTTTTGCTCCCTGTTCCAAGTAAAATGAGCATATTTTTGGTACCAAAGTTGCAAAAATCAGCTAAAAACTTAAAGACCAAAAATAGTAATTTCACACAGAATAAGGACCGAAAACGTTATAAGAACTGTGAAAAAGGACTAAAACTGAAAGAAATTTTTTTTAGGGCCAAAACTGTAAAAATCAGGGACCAAAAATGTAATTTACTCTATTACTTGGTACAGGGACCAAAACTGTTACCAAAACCGTTAAATAACCTCAAGGCACCAAAAAATTGCAAGAGAACTATTTGGGTTGAAAACTGAAAAAACCACTATACTTAGGGGCCAAAAATATAATTTACTCTAATCATAATTAATAAATAGGTAAGTTACATTTTTGGTCCTTGAGTATACTTTTTGCAATTGTGGTCCTCATTTGAGATTGTTGTAATGCTTTTGGTCCATGTTCCAACTTCCAAGTAAAATGACCATTTTTGGTCCTTGAGTATAGCTGATTTTTTCAATTTCGGTCCCAAAAATAGTCATTTTTTTGCAACATGGACCAAAAACATTACAAAACCCTAAGGATTAAAGACCAAAATTGCAAGAGAAAACCTTTTGGGACCAAACTTGCAAAAATCGGCTATACTTAAGGATCAAAAATGTAATTTACTCTAACTATAACTAATAAAATTTAATATTATATGTAAATAGTAAATACCTGTTGATAATAAAATGCAAAAAACAGAGTATCTGTTCCAATGTTATCAGATCCAAGTCTTTCCCAAAAGGCTGGATTATTAACAATTGGAGCCTGCACTTGAGGGTAGAACTGTGGGGTCACAGCCGGATGCCTCTGAAATAAATAAAACAAAAACAAATTAACAAAATGCGATTATTAAAAAATAAAAATAAAAGGAATTTAACATTTTCATACAGGAGTGTAGCTTTTAGCACGTTCAGAATCTTTGGGTTGTGGGAGTTTATAAAAGGCGGAATCAAGCAACGGAAAGGTGGATTGCTGATCATGAGGGGCCCCCAAGGGCAAAAATGTCCCACCGCCACTGAGGCTATCTCCAATTGCACCAACCTCAGAAACATTTCTTCTACCAATAACCCCAAGGGCAAGAGGGGCCGATTGTAAAGGCTGCCCGGGAGAGAGATCGATATCTCGGGCAGGTTGGGCAGGCTCCGCCACCGTATCTGATGGAAATGACATCGACACCTTTGAATCAGTTTCACGGACAGGAGCAGAATCAGGGACAGAATCGTCATTTTGCGGCTCTTCGGCTTTCACATGGCCAACATCTACTTAAAGTACATTGTTATTTAAAAAAGTCAGAAACATCTTTAAAAAAAATAGTTTTTTTTGTAAAACTTACCGGTTGACATGAGTATGTGTTGACCGGACTGTGAATGGGTCAAACTTGGTTGTAGTGCTGATGTGGCAGTGGGTCCCACAATTTGAGGTGGTAGTGATAGAGGTGCCCCTGAAGTTTGAGAGTTGAACTGCAATGGTGTAAATTGCTTTGGAGTTTGTTGTTGTTGCTGCTGCTGCACTTGTTGGAATCTTTGTAAAAACTTCTCCCTTTGGTCTGGTGTAATTTCTGTTCTTCCACGAAACTGAGCCAAAGATTATTGTTATTTTTAGAAATAATTATATTATTTCATTATTTATCAACTTAATGTCATTTACTTTTGAAATTCTTCATAACAAACATGTTTAAATGATCCATTCCATTCTCTTTGTGATTCCATTTCATCACACAAGACAAAAAATAAATAAATAAATAAATAAATAAAAACACTTTTTATTTCCAATGGAATGAGCCATTCCATTCCCGCATCGATTCCATCATATTAGGCATGGCAATCACATCTGGGCAAAACAGAGTAAAACATACCCCTTCATGTTGACTTTGGAATGGATTTCCAATTCCAGGTCGCCATTGTATTCCAGGAACTCCAGAAGGTGATGAAAACACCCTCCCTGTCACACCACCACCCTCACCACTCTCACCACCACCAACACTTTCACTGGTTTTCCCAACTTGTGGTAATAGCATTCTACTACTTAAAGGAGAAACCAATGATTGCATCATTCCACTCATGGATGCTTCTGACAATGGAGTTGTTAAAGATCCACTGCTGGAAACACTGATTCCGGAGGTGACTGGGATGGTGAGGGAGGGTAAATTGGTCACACCACTTCTAAGGGATGATGATGGTTTACGAGTGGGAAAGATGGAAAGCTCTTCTTCCTTAGTGGAAGTGTTTATTGGTGTTGTAGGAACAGATAATGTTGTATTGTCCAAAATACCCTTGACAGGATTTGGCCCTGCAATGGAAACAGGGGTAGTAGGGGGTCTTTCTGATGTTATTGGGGTGATTTTTGGAGATGGAGTTTGTGGCCCTAACTCTGAGATAGTGTCTTGGGGAGGCGCCACCTCATCAACCTGCTCCTGTACTGAATCCCCCTGTTGAATAGGAGATGTAATTGTAGCCTAAAACAACAAAAAGCCAAAATCAAATGATACGGATTACAAATTAGTGACAGCTAATCAGCAATTGACATGTGTCATATTGTTGGCAAACTAATTTCTTGGAACATACCGATGACTGAGCTGAAGTAGACAAGGTTGATTTTATGCTTGAAACAGCAGCTGTAGCCCCAACACCCTTAAGAATGCCAGGTGGACAAATGGTGACTAGATCTTCAAGTGACTCTACCTTGTCCAAAGGTAAGGTGTTGTATAACATGTCCACATCATCAAAGTCATCAAAAGCTTCCTGTAGGAGAAATGATTCGGTTAAATAACAGAGTCCATTTTGAAAAAAATCTTCAAGTGAAAGAAAATAAAAAACCTGATTTCGTTCCACATAATCATCCAAGAAATCTTTAACATCATTGACTTGTTCTGGGCTCAACTCATCATTATCCAGCAATCTTAAAATCAACTCTAACTTCATTATATGAGCTTTGTGTCGATTGATTGATGATTCCAAATGAGTCTGTGAAACAAATTGCTTATTAAGTTATGAAATTTTAACAATGATCATTATTCATCAGAAGTTGTACCCTTCATTTGCTATATTACCAATCTTGGTGGTCTTGCTTTCCCTTTTTTAACAGATAACCCCTCCATCTCAGCTTCAAAACTATCAATTTGAGATTCAAGCTCAGATACCTAATTCAAGAAAATGTATATTTAATTATTTATATACAATGTCCAGTTTGAGATTCAAAATCAGACTTCAAAATGAAAGTATAGTAGTATAGTTCCATACTGTATTGTTCAACCAATCTCTAGTCTCTGACTTTGCTTTCTCCTTTGGATCCTACAACAGAGAATTAACAGATTAATGCAGGAAAAAAGATGTACACAAATGTCCAATTTCAGATTCATATAGTAACAATGGTGGAAATATAGTAATACATACTGTTTTAGGCTGCTGTCCAAGACCTTCCTTGGAGAATGCTTTTGTCTTTGTTTCCTTTTCACATATCTTAAACCGTTCCATTTCTTTTTCAATAAGCTTCCGAGCATCCATTAGAGCCTGCTCATAAGAGGCACTAACCGATGTCAACATGCATGAAAGAGAATTTTGTTGTAAATATATTTTCTGTGGATTGAGATAAACCTAAGAGCGAACAGCACACAACTACTAGGAAAACAGTATTCGATACTTCAGTAACTCGGTAAGCAAGCAGCAACTGTACAGAGCGAATAAACTAACCTTTTTATCCTTGATCTCGGTGAACTGTATCCATGTCTTAATCTGGTCTCTGTGCCTCTGAAGTTTCTTGATCTCCTTCTTCAAATCGGCTTCAAATTTCTCCTTCTGATTGGCATTGTCAGTATCGTAAACCTAAACAACGAAAATTTCGACAACTGACTGTTACACATCAACTATCAATATATGCATTAAACGAAAAAAAAAATCAAGAAGTTGAAGATAACTAAATGAAATTGCCTTGTTCCAAATACTGTCGAAAATATCGACTCCTTCCTGGACTTTCTTCAAAACCCGATCGATCTCGCCTTGAAGCTTTCTACTCGCTCCCATTAAGAAACTATAAAATGTGGCAAACTGATTGAATTATTAAAACCGATCATCCAAAACCCCAGCGATTGGTAGTGATGCTTTCCCAAATTATGGTTCCGATCTTGTGTAATTCTAGTAGGATTTTCTTTCCTTTCAGTGAAGACGATGATAAGTTGGAGTAAGGAATTTTGCAACAAAAATGCAATCAAATAATAGAAATAAAACATGAACAATTTCATAAATAATCTAATTTATCAAATATACCGAACAACATAAAATTCCGGCCAAAACTTCAAAAAAAAAAACTTTTTTTTTTTTTTTTTTTTTCAGGTTTTGTAGATTTAACTGATATTTTATTTTGTTCGTTAATTTACTCAAAATATTAGGATTTTTCTGAAAATTACCCGATAACAAAAATATTTGGATTTTTTTGAAAATTATTATGGAATTAACGGATATTATTATTAACAAATCATTTATAAACATAATTTTTTTATTATAAACAAAGGAAATACATTTGTTGTTAATTTCTAGGAATAGAATAGTCGACTATGTATTTCTCTATTGTTTGTTGACCACTTCAAAGTCTCTATGTTCTTCATATGTATCGTTGTAGGTGTCATAGTGAGAAGTACTCTATTAGGCATGACCAATACAAAAGTTGATAATATTTATTAATACACAATCAATAAGTGTATATTTGCTATTAGCCATGATGCTATATGATGACGTGTTATCAGAAAATATCATTACATGAACATATAGAGCTTTCATTATGTTCTTTAACCTAACTACCACCTAACCTCCAAACATTACCCGGTAACAACAATAAAATTACACACATCTATCAAGAGTGAAAAGTAAACTTTGAATGGCAGTTTAAATAGATAATAACCCTTCACTTGTTTCCATATAAATTATCATTCACGGTTCACTTTTCACATTTGATAGATGTGTGTTAGCCGATAGTTGCTAACATGTAAGGTATGAATGTTAGTTGGTAGTTAGGTTAAACAACATAAGAGGAACATTAATATTAGAGGAATGCTAACTAAGTCCATATCATTATCATACCCACAACAATGCATAGGAAGAATGTAGAGAGTTTGAGTGGTCATGAAGCAATAGAGTACTTAGACCACCAATTTATTCCTAGAAATTAGCAACAAATGTATTTTCTTTTTTTATAATAAAAATATTTTTTATGTTTATAAATGATTTGTTAATAATAATATTCATTAATTTCATGGTAATTTTCAAACAAATCCCAATATTTTGGTTATTATGTAATTTTTGAAAAATCCCAAATTTTTTAGCAAACTAACGAAAAATGACAGAATACCGGCAAAATCTGCGAAACCGGCCGAAAAGGGTTTTGTTCGAAGTTTTAACCGGTATTCTGTGCTTTTCTATAAATGAAATTTAGTTTTGAACTTTTTCATAAATTGGACTAAAATTTTAGGACTTTTCTGGAGATTTCCTTTTATTTTTATTGACAAATGTCAAACTATTAGAACTCCTCGTTAATATTATATGTCACTTATCATGCTACTTGTCAACCTATTAATTATTAATTTCAAATTTAAATTTCTTATTCTAATTATATTAAATCAATAACTGAAATTGATTTTCTATTTTAAATGTAAATTTTAAATTTTCACTATAATTATATTAAAATAAAAACATTAGATTAAAAAATAAAATAAAATTTATGTAGATTATAAGGTGATATAACTTCACGTATTTATTTAAATCAATGATTATAATTTTATATAACTAAAAAATATCTCTTAAGTATCAATTTATTTAAAATAATTGATTAATAATTTTAATTTTTTTAATATGAAAACTTAATTAATTTTATAACCGTGGTTCTCACAGGTTATAAACTAATACAAAATAAATACATATAATAAAGAGTCAAAATAAGGTAACATTGTATAATATATATTTTGTATTTAAATAAATAAATAGTGTAATACGTAAGGTTAAACGAAATAAAGGAGTCAAAATAAGGTAAAGAAGGTTAAACGGAATATTTCGAGCTAACCAGGGTTAATGAGGACGAGAGCAGGGGTGATCTTGGATTTCAGATAAGGGGTTGGGGTTCAGTAACGGGAGAACTTAGGGTTGGAGTCAGGGCAGGGGAACAGGGGAATTTAGGGGTGAGGGAGGCAATGGCACATCAAGATAAAAGTTCTAGGGTATGTAGTGCTTAATAATTTAAAAAATAACAAATAATTTCCAATTAAATCTTCATCACTTACTTTACTAAATATTTTTTTCTATATAAGTTACTAAGCAATCATTTGATATTTAATCATTTAATATGTCATACTTTTTATAAAACATTTAATATTTAAAGCATTGGGAATAATATCAAAGTTTACATCCTTATACCAAAAAACCAGAGTTTCAAAAAAAAACTTTAAAAAGTATTCCCAACAAAACATTACAGGTGTTACCATATTAATACGATAACCATATTGAGCAAACAATGATAAATTGCATAATTAGAATACAAAAATAATCTAGTCCATGTTCCTTGAATGCTTATAAGCCCTCGCTCTAATGTTTGTTACCATAACGTGTTAAACACATAGAAACAGTATTTGTTAGACAATAAGTATGATGAGTTATACATAATCATAAACAACATAAACATACATAACATAATCTTGGCTTATCACATAAGTTGCTAAGCATCTATGTAACATCCTAAACTTTAAAATCGGGTTCCTGGATTAATAAATTAAATAAATGAAAAATAATTTATATAGTTAAATCATCAAGGGATAATCATATCATTAGCTGATATGATGTTTTGAAAGTTATAAGTGAAAATAGTAACATTTTAAAGTTAAAGGGGTAAAATTATCAAATTTGCGAAGTTAGTTGACCAAACGGTTGACCCAGTTAGTAGAAAGGACTACTAAATTCATATAATGGATGGAGGAGGAGTTGGTATGTCAACCTTTTATATAAATGTGAAAATAATTGAAGTAATGGTAAATTTGATAAGTTATAAAGTTAAGGGACTAGTTTTGACAAATAGAAAACTTTGTGACTGGTGTTAGATAAAATTATTTTGGGGTCAAAGTGTGAAAGATGTAAGTTTCCTTTTATATATTGATCAAATGGTGTTAAATATGAGAACAATGAAGGTTAGGGGTTATTTTTAACAACCCGAAATTTCCGCTTCATTTTCATGTAACTTTTTCATAAATCAACTCGCGCAACCGATCGTCATTCCGATTTCCAATTTCCGATTTCTCCGTTTAATTAAGTCATTAATTAGGACACATTTAAAACGACTTAATGGGTGTCTTAATACATTTAGAAATCAATTTAACACCCAACTTTAGTGATCGGAATAATTCTAGAATTTACCGTATCGGGTTACGGTAACTTAATCGGTTACGACCAAAAACCCCGTCTAACGCCGGTATCGGGTAAAATTCCTCCGTGTCCAAAACTTAAACACTATATAAACGTGTTTAAGACTTCATTTGAAGCCTTTGGTCAAATTATCACTAAACTCTTACAACCTCTCTCCTCAAGCTAGAATTAAGGTCCAAATCTCAAGTTTAAGGCTTCAAATCTTTAAGGTAACCTCCCTAGCATATTATTCAGCATCTTTAACCTTCAAATTGATGAAATAATTGAGTTTTAGGTCCAAGAACATGAGTTTACGGCCAAGGAGCAAGCTTGGGCCGTAAACTCCATTTAATGGGGTTTTAAGCCCTTAAACTCCTTCCTAAACTCAATTGGACTTTAGATATGGCTATGGGACTTCAAGATATGGACTTAGGACATTTAAAACTATGATTTTGAGCCATTTAAAGGAGTTTACGGCCAAGGCATAAGCTTAGGCCGTAAACTCAAGTAAAAGGGGTTTTCATGCCCTAAAACCCTTCCAAATCACTCCTATGGCTTAGATATGAATTGTAGGACCTTGGTTTTAGCATTTGGACACTTGAAACATGAATTTTGTGGGACTTATGTGAGTTTACGGCCAAGGATAGTGCTTGGGCCGTAAACTCCCCAAAATGTGACATAAATCCAATTCTAAGGTGTTAGAAAGCCATCCAACACCACCAAAAGACTTGGAATAAATCAAGGGACCAACCAAAAATGCTTTAAGGGTCTAAAACACATCATTTGTGGGACTTATAAGGGTTTACGGCCAAGGCTTGTTCTTGGGCCGTAAACTCCAAAACTTTTGGTGTTAGAATGCAAACTAAACACCCCTAAAGCCTTTAGATGAATTTTAGAAGCCCTTCTATGCAAGTTTTAGACCTTGAAACACTTTGTATGACCCTACATTAGAGTTTACGGCCATGAGGAGGGTCTCATGGGCCGTAAACTCCATAACACCCCTCAAATGTCACATAAAAATCATACTAGGTCTTGGAATAATCTTATGAATCACATGTGATTTGTTTTAACAACATTTGACACCCATTTCATGAAGATTAAGGAGTTTACGCCAGGAGCCTATACTGGGCCGTAAACTCCCATAAAATAAGCATTTTGATGATTTAAATTCAGTCCAAGTGTTCCAAGACAATTTAGAAAATCCATTCTAGCAACCTCTAGGTCCATTTGAGCCCTTAAACCCTCAAAACCACACCAACATGAGTTTACGGCCGTAAACTCATGTGTGAGTGTGTTTCATGGTTGTAAACTCATTTAAATGTTTACTTATGGAGAGTAAACTCATGTCCCAAGTCCCTAGTGCCATTACAAGTCCGAAGATGTCACCCGGGTCACTCCAAACGCTCGTTTTGAGGTGTTTAACCTCATTGGAGTGTAATGTTCCATATGATTAGTGAATGTATCTCTAATTGTATATATATGGACATTATATCATTTTACATAGGGTCATCGCGAGTAATCAAACCCCGAACCGACGTCTAGCATTCAAAACCGACACGTTTCCGAGTCCGGTGAGTTCATACCCCTACCCTTTTTCACTGTTTTCACTGTTTTCAGGGGGGAACACAAGCAAAGTACAAGGG